CGAAAAATAAAAAATATATAAAGGAAAAAATATTTATTCGTTTACACATTGCGACAAAAATTACGGTTAATCTCAGAGAATGCACCATTAGAAATTAGAATAATTTTTATAAAAAAAAATTACCAACCAGTCATTTTGATCGTTTTGGTAATTTTAATGTTAAGTTTTCAATATAATATAATAAAATAAAATATTGATTATTAACAAAATTATTGTGCAAAATGTAAATGGGGGACCATAATACTATCTTCTCCTCTATTATTTAGAGAAAATGATATTTTGTTTTCAATAAAAGAAATTTATCTCATTATATATTAAATATTATTCAACGAAACAAAAAATTCTTTAATATTTTTCTAATATTATCTAGTATTACTTCTTTCCAACAATTAACTACATGTTATTTGACATGAAGATATTTATTGATTGAGAAATCAAATAATCCTGTTTGCTGAATCAAATATTCGTTTGTTTGCTCTATTCCAAAAGACAAATTTGTTTCAAATAAAGAAATGTTATCAAATCCAAAGAAATTTTTTTCTTACGTGTGTACACGCAAGTTACATTAATATTCCGAAAAATATTCTATATTTCGATAACGTCGATCCGATTTCATTTTCACAAAATATATTCACTTTCACGCGAGTGATTATCGCGCGGGCAAACAAGATATTAATGTAATTGAACGGCCGCGACGCGTAAGCAGTTCGTACAGCGCGAACTAATTGTGCGACGTTAAATTAATGTCGAATGAATTTTACAGCGCGCGGGACAGTGTTAGCACAGCCATTGAGGATGAACGTTACTGCCCGCGTACGCCTCGTTCTCGCCGATGTATCGGCTGTCCGACACCGGTTCGTACCAATTACCGTCTGGCTGGCGGTTAATTAAGGATTGGGGCAATGAGGCCCGGCGATACAGTTTCCGCGATAATGATTATCTGCGACGGTAATTGAGCGAGCGGTTATATGCCGCGAGGGGGGAACGAAGCGGAAAAGAGAAGAAAAAGGCGTAAGAGGCGTGCGCGACGAAGAGAGAGCTCACAAATGTACGCAAGCGTTTCTGCCTGTTTTCTTTTTTGTGTATTTTTATTGAAATTTTAATATATTGGAATTTTCGCGTAAAACCATAGCGTCGCGATTTTACACCGCCCTCTTGTGCCAACGAGCAACTAAAATACCGATGATTTCGTTCATGCTTTAGGAAAGAAAAAAGGAACCACGAAGGAGCGCAAGGGAGACAGAGAAAGAGAGACTGTCCGTCGATGAAGACGCGCGGTAACAACGGCGGTGGCAACGGCGGCGATCTTACGAGCCGAGGAAGAGGGAAGTCCTTATACCAGCTTGGACTGCTTCGAGTCAGGCGAGCTCGCGAAACGCAAGACGCGTTACCGAGGTAAGTGTAAGCATGTGTACAAAGCCACGCATACGAAGAAGAGCTGTAAGGGTGGCACGCGCGGCCCGCTTCTATCGCTTCCGGGCATCAGCGTGCTCGCGAGCCGCGGCTAATTGCTCTTTAATGCAAGCGAGCGAGCGAGCGAACGAACGAACGAGCGAGCGAAGGAACAAGCGAGCGAACGGGTACGTTGCTTTTCTTCGTTCGTATGCCGAGGAAAAGCCTCGACGAGACATTATTAACGACGAAAGCGCCACGTCGGAGCGGGCGGATAATTCCGCGCATAGCGGTGTCCACTAGTGCTGTCAATTTTGACTACCCGGGTAGCCGAGTCTTTCAGTAATTGAGTATATGGCTAACTTCACACGTTATTATCATCGTGTGGCTGTATCGTTAGAAAAATCTATAATTTGTAACGTCTGAAATTAGTCGTATGCTCAGTTGCTGAAAGACTCGGGTATCCGAGTAGTTGGAATTGACAGCATTAGTGTCTACAATAGGTGTAGTAAGCTTTAAACCGTAAGAAATTGACCAATCACAGTCGAATGTGAGAAGAATAATTGTTTGTGATTGGTGGATTTCTTACGGCTTAAGGTTTACATCTACTCTAGCAGAAATTGAATCTCGTGAATGTCTAGCCACGAAGTAATAAATTTGTGTCTAATGTCGCCATCAGTAATAAAACACTCACTTCTTCCAATAGCTAGATAATGGCTAAATAAATAAGTTATCTGATAGTTAAAATAAGAGAAGTTGATAGTTAAATAAGAGAAATTACAATTACGACACGAAAAATCATAACTAGTCAGACAGTAACGCAGCCTCTAATTTTGATTTGCTATTTTATTTTTAAATGCTAATGGCGGGTATATAGTAGCTAGATTACATATTTCAGAATAGACAGTGCCACTTACATGATCATATTTGATGTGTAATGGCTAGACAATACGGCTAGATCATAAAATCGATTCTACACGGAAAAAAATCTGATTGCATTAACCAGAAAGGTAACAACTAGATGGCTCTGATTTTGGTTGAAGGAAACAATTTCTGATTCTTACAGTCCAAATGTGGTTTTTATAACCGGAAATTTGGTTTCCTTCAACTAAAATTCATCTGATTGTTTCCTTTCTGGTTAATACAACCTTTTCCGTGTACCTTTTAGTGAATAATCAGTCAATGATGAAAATTAGAAAATTTAATCTGGCCTGTACTAGTTACTAGCTTTTGATTCAGGCCGACTAGATATATCTATGTGTGCATTTCTACTCGGGTATTGTAGAGATTCGGTTTATGGCGTTGAGAAGGACCAATGGT